ATATGCATATACTGAAAAACACAGCTGGGTGCACTGCTTAAATTGGCATGAGTTGGTTTAGTTTACTTGCTTAGCTCAGTAAAATCCAAAAAAGCATGGGTGTTAATAGATGTGTGTTACTGTGTCTGTGTATGTGCCGCTGCTCTTTTCTGCAGTGGCATTCCTGTCATGCCCACTCAGATTCCAGCTGTGGAAGAGCGCGTGCCCCAGGCTTCCATTTAAAAGGGCACTCCAGTGTGGTGGGCAGACACTTAGAGCATGAAACCAAAATGCTGGTACTGTCAGAGTAGAGTACGGAGCTGACCGCAGCAACACCGTTTTTAGCATTTACCTGGTTTCTTTTTCTGGATACTGTTACAGTGAAACTGAGGCTTGAATCTAAACCTATACGGATTAAATCTAGTGATGCACCAAAATTACAGCAACTTAAAATATTTGGTTGAAACAGCAAAAAAGAATGCATTTTAGCTTTCAAAGGAAAATGTTTTGAAAGGCTGAAATCTTTGATCGAAATGAGTGACGTTTAATTGGCGCTTCTCAAATTAGTCGTTTGACTATTTCATGCACAAAACGTAGATGAGCTACAAAAGGTAAACATGTCAGCAATATTATGGACACACTAAACCATTCCCAAAAATGATGCTAAAATAGCAATATGCAAAAGTAGTTTGGCTGATATATTGAGAGGTGGCTTGTTGCTGAAGAACTTTACTACGACTGGTTTAATTTATCACCAAAAACTCGACACCTTGAAGAGCATACCAAGTTCAATTAACCAATTATCCAAATTTAATTACCAAAACTTTATTTTTGGTTTTCTAACATTAATTATAACCTAAATACTTTGAAAATCATCCGCTGAAGTCTATTGCAGATCTAGACATTAATACATGTGAATAACTATGGCTCCAGTTGTACTAGGGAGGAATGTCAAGTGTTCACGGTCCAATATTCGGCCAAAACAGCAAAAGCAGTAATGATTTTTTTGGTTTCAGATTAAATAATTTTGAAATACTGAGAGCGACTTGTTGTTAAACTACTATGATTGGATTAATTTATCATCTAAGAACACAACACCTTCAAAAGCATACCGAGTTCAATTATCCAATTTCGCAAATGTAATTATTACCAAATTATTTCAGTTTTCAGCTAAATGGCAACTTAAATTTCAGTTTCATGTTTCGCTAAAACAACTTCTGTGCATTACTAATCAAATCAGATCAAAGCACCTGATTTATTGATATACATCTGGATATAATTTTGCACATGCTCTCTAGTACAGACTCAACATGTCAATAAAAGTACACAATACAAAGTGCATTTTGAAGAAAACCTGCAGATAAATGTGTATTTATAAAGTGACATTACAGATATAAGTCACAATCAAACCACTTATACATGCATACAAGACATACAAACAAGCAAACCACATTAAGAACAATTTACAAGATTATTATCGACAGATAAACATGCAGCATGCATTCTGAAGCG